TCTGTCTGTCTGTCTGTCTGTCTGTCTGTCTGTCTGTCTGTCTGCCTGCCTGCCTGCCTGCCTGCCTGCCTGTCTGTCCGTCCGCCCGCCACCCCACCCCACCCCACCCCACCCATCTATCGGGTTTTCGGGTTTTCAAGGCAGGGTTTCTCTGTAGCTTTGGAGCCTGTCCTGGAGTTTGTTCTGATCTACCTATAATGCTGTTAACTCAGCAGTAGAGAGGTAGAGGCATGAAAAATAGGAGTTTAGGTCATCAATGGCTACAAACAAGTTTAGAGACAAACTAGGATACACAAGAACCTGTCTCAAACAAAACGCCCCCCCCCCCAAAAAAAGGTTGTTTGAGGACATGACAACTATCTTTTTAGTCAAAGACTTTAACCAGTACAGATCCTTGGTAATAAGAGGCACTGACATAAATTGTTCAAATCTGCACAGTTGTCTCTCAGGTGCAAAGCCAATTTCTAAAAAAGACAAGCAAGGTTGATATCCCAGACTGCATACTCACAGAAACAGTGACTGAATCCTGTACATCTTTATGACTGACCAACTGAACATTGCCATCTTCATAGTAATGAACCTATGAGAGATAATATTTGAGAAGGGTTATGCATAGTTCATGCAGAAATGTATGTAGTGCTGAGGGAACAATTTTTAACAACTCAGAATAAATAATATGATCAATGATAATTCACAATGGTATGAAAATTCATGAAAAGAGTATCAAAAATCGTTTGAAGAGATTTCTAAATTTAACAAACATGCTTGCTCCATTATAGGCACTAGACTATACATGACGATACAAATGCAACACTGACATTCTATTTCTCTTGAAACAGAGTCTGACTGGTCCGGAATTTGAGGCAATCATACAAATCATACAGCAACTCCCAAGTGCTTGGATTACAGTAGTGAGCCACCAAAAGTGACAAGATCCCACTCTAACAGTATCAAAATAATTAAAATGAAAATCACTGAGCATGAGATTTTATCCATGAAAATCAAGAACTCGTAATGAACCCTAGTACCTAACTGAGGTATTTTCCCTTTTGCATAATTACTAATATTGGCAAGTAAACCACACTGTGTTCAGGAAAAGCTTAAAGGCTAAAGAGAGGACGGAAAACCAAAAGTTTATTAGTAAGTCACAAAAATGAGGAGCTGAGAAGATGGTGCAGTGGCTAAGAACATTTGCTGCTCTTGTAGAGGACGCAGGTTCCATTCTCAGCATCCACATGGCAGGTTAGAACCACTCATAAATTTATTTTTAGGCAATCTGATATCCTCTTCTGACCTCCTTGGACACCAGGCACACAACAAGGTACAGAGACACACATGATGGTAAAATACCCATACACACAAAGTAAGAATAATATATTAAAAATTACAAAAATAAGTGTTGGGTTATTGAGATGGTTCAGTGGGTAAAAACTCTTGCTTCTAAGCCTGATGACTTGAGGTCAATCCCTGGAACTACATGGTGGAAGGAGAGAACCAACTCCCTCGTGTTGTTCTCTGGCCTCCTTGGATGCACTATGACACATCCACCACCCCTTCTCCATAAATACATGTAAAAAGTTGTATGATGGAAGCATTCTTGTAGCTACAGATGTAGCTTAGTGGTAGAGCATTTGCCTCCCAGATTTCGCTCTCTAGCCCCACAACACAAAACAGCAACACAGTCTGAATATGTAAGGTAAAGTGATAAGCTACAATCAAAACTCAGTTTTCAAGAGGGAAGAATACAAGTCATACCAGTAGTTCTAAGACTTGCAAGGCTCGGAGATTTGGGCAAGTTACAAGATTCATTTAACTCTTTTAAAAGGACTACAAACTGGCCATGCAGAACAGGATTAGGGAAGCTATTTGTAAAATGGAAAACAAATAACAAAACCCCAAAACTGAACAGGGTCTTGAACATAAGAGTGGTGCCCTCAGCAGACAAGATGGGGTCACCCAGCAAGGGGCTAAGCATCAGAATGGAGCACACTGGTTTAGTTGAGGGAAGGACAAAGACCTCACTATATGAACAGATGTGAAACAAATGTATCAACACACTGGACTACCAAGTTGAAGCTAGATGGTGAAGACAGCAAAGACCTTAAGAGCCAAATCAAGAATTCAAATTTTATCTTATTAGAGGTGATGGAAGAGTGTCCAGATGTCATTTTCTTCACTTAGTGCTACGGACTGAAAGTTGGTGCAATAGCTTTAGATAGAAAGCACATTGTCAGGGGTGGGTGGGCTCTGAGAGTTCACAGTCTCATCCTACTTTCAGTTTGCTCTTTCAGTTTTTGCCTGAGGTTGAGAACACGATCTCTAAGCTTCCTGCTCCAGCTGCCATGTCACTTGCTACTCTGCCTCTCCCCCTCGGAACCATAAGCTTTCTTCCGTAAACTGCCTATGGTCATAGTGTTTTATTGTGTCAAAAGAAAAGCACCTTATACAAGTGGGAACTATTACCTTGCTGTTTATAAATTACCCAATCAGAAGGATTTTGTTACAGCTATCTAAATAGAATCTTTACTCTTGCACACACGAGCAAAAAGACACTTTGCTCATTTCCTTTTCAAGGCCATCATTGCTGCTTCTGCCTGCCTTGGTCTGCCTGCAGCTAAAGATCAACAATCGTTTTTTTTCTTATCTAGTCCTAAGGATTAAACATAGGACTTCCCACATGTTAAGTAAGCACCCCATCAAAGACCTACAATGCAAGGCCAGACATGCTTTCAGAGCTAAAGTAGAAAAGGCAGGTATGGTGGTATGATGTATGAATGAGCTGAAGCAAAAGGACTGCTACCAAGATAGACTAGCTAGTGAATTCAGGGCCAGCATGGGATACAGAGTGAAATTCTACCCCCCAAAAACAACAAAAAAGAATATGTAACTAGTTTGAACTTCTGTCACAGTTCTTTTAATTTTAATTTCTTTTTTTCTTTTGACAAAGTCTCACTCTATACTTCCTGCCTCAGTCTCCTAAATAGGTAGGATTATAGGTCTGGGCCATGATGATCTGTTATGCTTCTTAAGAATTACAACATGGAGGTGGGCAGAGGTGGTGCACACCTTTAAACCCAGCACTGGGAGGAGGATCTCTGTGCGCTCAAGGCTAGCATAGTCTACAAGCAAGTTCTAAAATGGCCGGGGACACATAGAGAAACTCTGTCTTGAAAAACAAAAACAGAAACAACAACAAGAATGGAAAAGAATAGAAGGGCAGTGAGCTTCAATGTTACAAACTCAAATGAAAATCTGAAAAACACCAGGTTTATGAGCATGTTATACCAACAACATGACTTTAGATTCAATTTAAACTCTACTTGCTCTAAAGCAGAACCATCTCCACAATTCAGTTACTAATGAAACAAAACCAAAACACAAAAGTCCCACTGACTATATAAACTTCAATGTGCGCTATTAATTTAAGTCTTTAAAAATGATTACTTCTCAGAATTATACTTTAATCTATAGAATAACAAATTTGACAATGGAAAATATAAAAGGTAAGTATTTAGATAACTTTTCCAAATAGTGTTCAATATCTATGATTTTTACTTTATTTTAAATCAAATCATTTATTGAGTGCATATGTGTTCATGTATGGAAGTAAAAGGACAGCTTGCAGGCGTCAGTTCTCCTTCCCATCATCTGGGAACTGGGTAATAAACGCAGGCCATCAGACTGGAGAGCAGATGCCTTTATCTGCTGACCATCTTGCTAGTCCTTATTTTGACTATTAAAAGGAAAATAAATGGCAGGCCCAGCTCCTAGAACTTGGGAGGACAAGGCAGGAGATTGGGTATATGTGACACTCTGTCTCAAGTTAGAAAGAAAAACAAGCCATGTAGTGGCACAGGCCAATTATTCTCAGCATTATGGAAGTGGAAGCAGGAGGACAGGTATTCAAGGCTCACAATTGCTCTAGGCCAGAAGAGGAAAACAAGAGACCCTGTCTTAAAACCAAAACAATTCCAAAACTCAGTGTTGAAAATTTTGCTTAGTGGCAGAGAGCTTTTTTAGCACTCTGAGTTTCATCCCAAGCATACAAATAAATCCTAGTTGGTGGCCAATGCCTACATCCCGAGAGGATGAGTCAGGAGGATCACTTCAAAGTTATCTTAAGCTATATAAGAGCAAGTTCAAGGCCAGCCAGGGTGCTACAGGAGATCCTGTCTCAAAAAGACAGCAAACAAAAACGCAAGCATAAACAAAGAGGTGTTAGGCCTTTATATAAAATTTTGTCAGGAACCGTCACTCTGTGCATGTTTTAACTATAGGTTTGCACTGGAAAAGACAGACCAAAAATTACTATTTCTGTCTGAAAAAGAAATATATTTACATAAATATATAGCAATTTGCCTGATTAAAGATAGTTATAAAAAGTCTGAAGTATTAGGCCACATTGTGGATTTAATTGTCAAAACCAGAAAGATAGCTTTGTTATTTTCAGTTGGGCTCTCCATGAAGAAGGCCCCAGGAAAAAGATGTGAGGGGAAGTAGCTAGCATATTTGTGAAGTAATCTACTTAGAAAGCACTAGCAAGAAACTAGTCAAACTAGAGGAAGTTTTGCAAGGAGACTGCTGGGCTGGTTGCAGCTGTGGGCACCAATCTCTGCTGCCAGAACATGCCAGTATTATTATATTGGTAGGGTACAGGTTACCATATTTATCTATCAGCTCATAGAGTTCACTGAAGGTTATTCTCAGAGAAAAGATTCAGCATTTCTATCCTGTCTGCCTGAGCTGGAGTGTGTTCCTGGGGCCAGAAAGGTAAAAATGTAGATAATAACATACATGTAATAAAGATGAATGCCAACAGCACCTGCATGTATGTAGTAGGCTTTACATGCTCCTTTTTTTAGTGCTGGGGACAGATCCTTGGCTTGTCTATGTTAGGTTATCCCTCTACCAGTAGACTACATACCTCTCCCACAGGCATGCTTTTGTTTAAATCATACTTTGAAAATGTAACTCTTGCTAGGTTTTTATTAAAGGCAACACAATACAATACAGGTATGGTTAGATACTGATAGTATAATTTATCAGACTTATTTAGTCTGACCTCAGTTAGTTAGACTGAAAACAAACCACCTGAATTAGAGTGTCACATCTCTTCAAAGACACCAGGATAACCCACACAAATAGCAACCATTCAGCTTCCTCTGTCCTGACATCAGCATTAAAAATTAAAAATCTGCTCCACTTGACTACTGATACTCCAGGAGATGAAAGGATCAGGATGTTCTCTAGAACCTCTCTGCTTTAGTTTAAATTTAATCAAAAACTTTTCTGTTCTCTGTAAGTTCAAGGTCAGCCTAGACTATAGAACAAGTTCCAGGACAGCAAGGGTCACACACAGAGAAACCCTGTCTCAAACAAAACAAAACAATCTACTTTTCTGTCAAAAAAATAAAAGTTCAATAATAAAACTCTTTTTTTAAAAAGATTTATTTATTATGTATACAGTGTTCTGCCTGCATGCATGCCTGCAGGCCTAACACTCTTTTTAATTAAAAAAAAAAAAAAAAGGTACAGTCTCACTACACAGCCCTGGATGTCCTAGAACTCACTATGTAGACCAGGCTGGTCTTGAATTCACTGAGCACCACCACCCACCCAAGCCCCTGATTAAAGGTGTGTGCCACCAGTTTCCTCCTAACTTCTTAATACTCACTTACTTTATTCTTTCCTAAAACTACTGTTTATTCCTAAAAGACCTTGTCCTTGAAGGAAAAAAGTAACCCAGCAGTATGTGCTATATAGTCATCCTCCATCAACCCAGAATAGCTCTCTTCTCAGAAGTAGGAGGCTCCTACTTCCATTCCCTGCTACTGACCTCTTTTTCACATCAATATATACTTTAGTGCTCCCTCTCCTCCTTGTGGTACTGGAATCAAACCCAGGGCCTTGCTCATCGTATGGAAGTGCTCTATTAGTCTTTATTTCTAATACCAGAATGAAGAGCAAATGATACCTTTATTTTAACTATCATCTATACATACATTGCCCTCTTACCTGAATCTTGAGCACTCCAACCACCTGGGCTGTAGGTGGTGTGATGGTGAACTTCCACTCTGACCTCCAACGACCATTCCTATAAAACACAGCATACACATGATGCTGCCGGATTAGCAGCAGGCACAAGAAAGAGGTGCTCTGACACAGAAGTTTGTGTGGTGGAGCTATTTTCAATGCGACAGACTCAAGATAGTCAATAGAGGCAGAAACACCTGTTCTGATCATAGAAGGGTCTTCTCAAGTCAGGAGAGCCTGCTTTAGGTGCACTAAGTTGTACAATCAGCCCCAGGTATGGACAACCCCAACTCAAGGAAAACCGAAGACTTTCAACTGCATATTTTGTGAATTACACACTTGTTGTGGGAATTAATTCAGCTAATAGTGTTTGGGGTACTGGCCCTTAGGGCATGGTACTATGTGTGGACTGATACTCAGGGTAAAGAAATGTGCTTGCTCTCTTGGGAGGTCAAAGCAGAAGCAAGTTTATGCTGTTGTTTATATTTCCCTGGGGCAGAGCAACAAGACACAGGAGCTGGTCCAGTGTTCTCTGTGTTTGTGGTTTTCCTTTGAATCCCATTTCCTTTGTATCTCCATAATAAAGGCAATTTGTAACTCTTGCAATACCACTCACATTATCAGGCGCCCAATATTTAACATTCCCTGTGGGAGGAATATCTCTTGACTGGCTGAGAATTATTCTAAGTAGGCACTGTGAAGGCAAATTTTCCCTATCATTTTCTTATAAAGGTATAGTGAAGAAACAGTCTTTTAAGTCAATAACTATAATAGCCCATTCTTTAGGTAACTGAGAAGGCAAAGGCATTCCAGGCTGTAGAGAGCCTGCAGGCTGAAATACTTTATTTATGGCTCTTAGGTCTGTCGGCATTCTCCATTTTCCAGATTTCTTTTTAATAACAAAAACAGAAGAATTACAAGAGCTAGTATATTCTTTAATATGTCCAGCATTTAGCTGCTCCTGAACCAGCTGTTCTAAAGCCTGTAGCCACTTGAATTACATATTCTCACTCAGTATAATAAACAGTATTTTTCTTTTCTTTCTTTTTTTTTTTTGGGGGGGCGGGTTTCTCTGGAGCTCCGGAGCCTGTCCTGGAACTAGCTCTTGTAGATGAGGGTGACCTCAAACACATAGTGATCTGCCTGCCTCTGCCTCCCAAGTGCTGGGATTAAAGGCGTGAGCCAATACTACCCAGCTAGCAAACAGCATTTTTCAAAAAGAAACAATTATAAAAGTCTTAGAAATGAAGCCAGGACTGTTTGTTACAAAGAGAAACCCTGTCTTAAAAAAAAAAAAAAAACAAGTAAATAAAACAAAAACAACACACACACACACACACACACACACACACACACACACACACGAGAAAAACAGTCTTAGAAATAGAAGGATTAAATCCTTAATTTTAAAGATGGAGAAATAAAGACTCTAAATCAAATAATCTATCCCAAGATAGTTTGAAAATAAAACCTCAGTTTTTTTAATTTTTTTCCAATATAAATTATATACAAAAAGAAAAGAACATCTATTTCTTACCAGAAGTTTTTGGGCTGAAACTGGTGGCTTTCAATACATGCAATAATGGTCTGTTGCCCATCTATAGTTTTAGCATAAACCTATTGGTGGGGGAAAAAAAGTTAAAAATGAAAAACATATTCACTTTATAATAAACTGTACAAAAGCAGAATGCTAAATTGAAATCTTTGAAGGGAGCAAAGTCAGAACATGCTTATAACACAGGCCTTCCTGGGATATGAAAACAGTAAATCCTAGGAGGCTACTGCTTCTGACTTATCATACTGTAAGATACCATTTAGGCTGGGCCTCACAAAATATGTGCATTTCTGACAGGCAGAGAACAAAGCTAAAGACAAGTCAACAGCTCAGGCAGGAAACCAAGGACATGCAAACTGGCAACTGGTCCTGCAGGTTAGCGGAGTGTGAGATGTACTAGTGGGAGAAAAAAAAAAAAAAAAAAAAAAACAGAAAAAGGGAGTTTAAATAGAAGGTAAAAAGTTTACACTGTATTCTACAAACAAGAGACAACAAAACAAGACCAGAATCATTATTTTGGGAGAAATATCAATACCGGTGCAGAAGATAAAAAGCGTAAGGTCAGTTAAGAAGCCACAAATTAACCTAGGCAATAAATAATCTAGGGCACTGTGGATGAGAAGGGAAGGAAAGGGTATTACACAGAATGCAAATGCAATGATACAGTCAGAAGTTGTGCCGGCTAGTTTTATGTCAACTTGACACAAGCTGAAGTCATCTGTGAGGAGAGAACTCCAATAAAGAAAATGTCTCCATAAGATTGGGCTGTAGGCAGGCTTTAGGGCATTTTCTTAATTAGTGATTGATGGAAGAGGGCCCTACCCATTGTGGGTGTTGCCATCCCTGAGCTGGTGGTTCTGATTTCTACAAGAAAGCCGGCTGAGCAAGTCATGGGAAGAAAGCGAGTAAGCAGCACCCCTCCATGGCCTCTGTATCAGCTCCTGCCTCCAGGTTCTTGCCCTGCAGAGTTCCTGCCTTGACTTCCTTCAAGGACAGACTACGAGGTGGAAGTATACACCAAACAAAGCCTTCCCTACTAAATTTGCTTTTAGTCACGTGTTTCATCATAGCAGTGCTAATCCTAACTAAAACAGAAGTCTAGCTGTATGCCAAAGGGCAAAGGAAAAAGAAGTGAAGTATTTCTACACCTGAATGATGAGGACCAATGTGGTGCCATCAGCAGATTGGGAAACCCAGACGAGAGCTTTAACTAGCATTTAGAAATATCAATTTTAGAGTGGAAGTGACAGGGATGTGAACAGAAATGCAATCACCAAAGACAGCAAAGCAAACATCAGTACTTTAGAGTCTCAAATGTATTTGTAGTGTTATTTTCGTTTTTGTTTGTCTGTTTGAGACAGGGTCTCATTCTGTAGCCCAGGCTGGCAATCTTCCTCCCTTAGCACTCTCAAGTGCTGAAATTCTAGGTGTGAGCCCACACTCGACTTTGCCTATATTAACTGCACCTCTTTGTGGCTTTTGTTTTCTTGGTTTCATCGTGAAACAGTACCTCATACTCTGTTACTCATGCTGGCCTGAACTTATAACACACAATGTATGCCAAGATGGGCATCAAATCTACATCAATTCCCTTTTATCAAGTTCCCAATTGCTGGAATTACGGACATGATCCCTGATACCTGGTTAGACTATAAACCTTCAGAAAGAGAAATCTAACTTTGGAGAATGCCTAAATGCAAAATATGGAAGACAACTGATGGTGTTGGCAAAGCAACTTAGCAAAAAATCATTTCGGAAGCCTGTATGTGAAATGCCATGTAGAAATTAAGGAACCGCAGAGCAGTGGTGGCGCACACCTTTAATCCCAGCACTTGGGAGGCAGAGGCAGGTGGATCTCTGTGAGTTTGAGGCCTGGTCTACAAGAGCTAGTTCCAAGAACAAAAAAAAAGAAAGAAAGAAAGAAAGAAAGAAAGAAAGAAAGAAAGAAAGAAAGAAAGAAAGAAAGAAAGAAAGAAAGAAAGAAAGAAAGAAAGAAAGAAAGAAAGAGAAATTAAGGAGCCAATTGGCTGGCTCGGTAAGCTCAAAAAGCAGTTTGTATAGAATGGCGAAGACAATGAAAAGCCAAAGGTTCAGACTTGTACTGCTAATGAGTAAAAACACTAACAGGGGAAAACGTCTTTGGTTTCCTGGTGGAACACCAAGTGCAAGCCCGGGGAAAGGAGAAAACAGAGAGGAGGAACAAACAGCAAATACAAAGAGGAGGTTAAAGAAACAAGCAATTTATAGAAATTATTGTGATTGAGACAGGTTTACCTCCCTTTAAAGACAAGAGAGTTAAGACTTTCTAAATTTAGGCATGGTGGCACATGCTTGTAATCCCAGCACCTGGGAAGTTGAGAGAGGAAGACGAAAGAAAGCCTACATGAGATTGTCTCAGAAACAAAACCAAGACCATATACCTAGGTAATGGAGGAATATACCAGAAGAAAAAACAAGGTATATAGCTATCCTGAAGACAAAGGATAGTATAAAATCAAGAAAAAAATCCTTCTGCCTCAGATTCAAGTATAATGGAAGGAAGAATAAGATTTATGACTACGGAGAAACAAATACAATTTCAGTCAGTCTTAATTCTAATTAGACGTAGTAGATTAGATGCTCATCCGACAATAGAAAATGTCTGAAGCACATTACAATATACAGGAAAAATGACAGAGTGAGATGAAATTAGGAGCACCTAAGGATGCTAAGGATGTGGGTTAGTAGGATACTGCTGGCAGCACTGGGGCAATTCTATCACCTTCTGTTGCTCATATAACTCAAAGAAATGAAAAAGGGTCTCAGTAGGGTTCTTTGGCATTGAGCTCTCCAGATTAAGAATGTAAATGGACAGGCAGAGTGGTACAAGCCTTTAATCCCAGGGTTCTGGAGACAGAGGCAGGTAAGATCTCTGAATTTGAGGTCAGCCTGGTCTACATAGTGACTTCTAGCCCAGCCAGTGCTACATAGTGAGATCCTGTCTCCAAAACAAACAAATAGAGAGGAGGAGGAGAACTTGAGGGAACAGGATAGTCAAGATGGGGGAAAGACAGAAGCAGAGAGCAAGGAAAAAGGTATCTTGATTGAGGGAGCCATTATGGGACTAGCAAGAACCCTGACACTTGAGAAATTCCCAGAAATCCACAAGGATGACCCCAGATAATATCCTAAGCAATAGAGGAGAGGGTACCCAAACTGGCCTTGTCCTGTAGTCAGATCGATCACTATCTTAAATGTCACCACAGAACCTTCATCCAGGAACTGATAGAAACAAGAGTCAGAGACCCGCAGCGGAGCACTGGGCTGACTTTCCAAAGTCCAGAACATGAGCAAAGAGGTCAAGACCATGATGGGTACACCCAATGAAACAGCTTACCTGAGCTAATGGGAACTCACCAACTCTGGCCGGACAGGGAAGGAACCAGCAGAAGACCAAACTAGACCCTCTGAATATGGGTGACAGTTGTATGGCTGGGTCAGAGTGAGGGGCCACTGGCAGTGGGACCAGGGTTTATCCCTACTGCTTGTACTGGCTTTTTGGAACCCATTCTCTTTGGAGGGATACCTTGCTCAGTCTAGATATAGTAGGGAGGGCCTTGGTCCTTCCTCAAAGCAATGTGCCTTACCCTCTCTGAGGAGTGAATGGGGGGTTGGGGGAGGGAGATGAAGGGAACAGGAGTAGGGGAGGGAGTGGGAACTGGAATTGGTATGTAAAATGAAGATAGGGTTTTTTTTTTAAATAAAAATAAAAAACAAATAAAAAAGTGGACAACTTTGAATGGAAATAAATGGTAAATTGCAAGTACCTTTAGATTAGATAGTTGATTTCTAAGAGAGAATATATTAGTTCTTTTTCTGAAAAATGTTTGAAAAGGAAATCTGTACTTAGCTACAATGATGTGTTTCCTCTATTATTTAGAAAAGCCCAAACAGGAAAGAATAATGGCATCTTCCACTTATGCATAGCTCACATTGTACAGATACTGTCAATATCTTCCATTAACTTCCTGAACCCTCACAACATTATGTTTTATTATATAAATAAGGAAACTGAGGCACAGAGATGTTAGTTAATTTAGGGTCACAACTAGCTAAATAGCCTGGTTAGGATTTAAATCAGTCAGGCTTCAAAGTGCTCTTAACTAACTACATTCCTATTAAACTCTTTTTTTTTTTCCCCTGGAACTTATTCTGTAGACTAGGCTAGCCTTTAACTTAAAAAAGATTTGGCTGCTTCTGCCTCCTGAGTGCTGGGATTAAAGGTGTGTACCACTACTACCATCAAATCTAACTATGTGTAGATTTTCTCTCTCTTTCTCTCTCTCTCTCCCTCCCTCCCTTCTTCCCTCCCTCCCTCCCTCCCTCTAGCTAGGTGTGGTGGTTTCACCTTGTAATACCAGTACACAGGAATCTGAGGTAGGAGGATCACCTCAAATTCAAGGCCAGATTAGGCTATAGAGTGAGGTCATATTTAAAACAAAAACAAGAGGAAAAGTAGGAAAGCTAACATAATCCCAGTTTCTACACTTAACTCAGTCATATTACAGTGTATGATTTCAAAACATCACACTTTACATGTTATAAACAGATACAATTTGTCAGCTAAAAAGTTAAAAACACACGCAGGCCTGATGCAAGTCTGGATTCCCAGCTTGGGTAACTTAAGACAAAAAAGACAAGATTCAAGGTCAGTTTGGACTATAGAATAAGTTTCAACTTAGTGAGACACTGTTTCAAAACAAAAACTATAATGAGGACTAGGGATACAGATAAGTGGCAGAATGCTTGCCTAGCATGTGCCAGTCCCTAGGTTCAGCTTACAAAAAAAAAAAAAAAAAAAAAAAAGATTAAAACTAAGCATGATGCAACCAACTATAATATACAGATATTTTATATTATTGTGTACTGAGGTTTTTAAAAAAATTTTTTCTACAGCTGGAGAAATGGTTCATGAGAACATGTACTACTTTAGTAGAGGACCCAGGTTCAGTCTCCAGTATCCTTATCAGGTGGCTCACAAACACTTGTAACTACAGGGGGTCAAATGCTTCAGGCTTGGGCTGGAGAGATAGCCCAGCACTTAAGAGCACTGACTGCTCTTCCAGAAGTCCTGAGTTCAATTCCAAGCAACCACATGGTGGCTCACAA